TTCTTAAAGGTAAAGAAAGACAGCATCTAACTGTAAATAAAACTTCTCAAATAAGACGTTTCAGAAAATAAGACCCAAATAAGGCAGGATGTTAGGATCTAGCATCGTATGTCCCTAACAGTGTCTAGATCTGTTAATATTGGTAATTCAAGATAGATTTAAGCAATGATATTTATCCAGCTAATGGATAAATCTTCAGCAGGCTCTGATTTTGTTGTATCATTTAGGTGACATCTACATAATCCTATAGCAGATGGCTGATGAGAGCATCTGAGACAGCTTGGCTGTGACAAACAAGACAGTATCTGGATTCAGCTAGGTCAGGATTGTGTAGAATCAGCCCTAGAAGCTGAGACCAAGACATTGTGGCATAAACAGGAGGAAAACCACTGGGATTCTAGTAGGAGGTCTCCAGGGGCTGCTGGACCCTCCATGGTCTTAATGATAAAGCCTGCCTTGTACACCTAAGCACATAACTTTGTATGGAAGATGCATCCCCAAGAATTTAAGTAGTGAATTTTTTTCCCCTCAATTACTGTGGCAATCAAATGTACAGTTGTCTTGTTCTCCCTCTGCACTAGTTTCCTAGCACTACTGTAACAACCACAAACTGGGTGGTTTAAAACAACAGAGATTTATGGAGGCTAGAAGCGTGAGACTAAGGGGTGGGCAGGACTATGTCCCCTCTGAAGGCTCTTGGGAAGAATCCTTCCTAGCCTCTTTCTGGCTCCAGACAGTCCTTGGCATTCCTTGGCTTGAAGCTGCACCACTCCAGTCTCTGCCTCTGTTGTCACATGGCCTTCTTCCCTGTGACTCCATGTTCTCTCCCTTCTTATAGCAATACTAGTGATTGGATTTAGGGCCCACCCTCATCTAGTATGATCTCATTTCAGTCCTCTTCTAAAACCTAAGCAAAGACCCTATTTATACATAACAATCATGTTCTGAAGTTCTAGGTAGATGGAAGTTTTGGTGGACACTATTCAATCTACTCCACCCTCTTAATTCTGCTTTTAATTTTTATTTTGTATTATTTTTGAGACAGAGTCTTGCTGTGTCACCCAGTCTGCAGTACAGTGGCATGATCTCGGCTTACTGCAACCTCCACCTCCCAGGTTCAAGCAATTCTACTGCCTCATCCTCCCGAGTAGCTGGGATTACAGGTGTGCACCACCACACGCAGCTAATTTGTGTGCGTGTGTGTGTGTTTAGTAAAGATGGGATTTCACCATGTTAACCAGGCTGGTCTCAAACTCCTGACCCCAAATGATCCACCCACCTCGGCCTCCCAAAGTGCTGGGATTACAGGTGTGAACCACCGTGCCCGGTCTCTGCTTTATGTTCTTAGTACTCCTTCCATTCACCATTCTTCAATAACTATTTTAAAGCTTATTAAGACTAAATTTTGTTAAGAATGCCTATCAGGCATATAAGTTATATAAACTGCTATATTATTTAACTGAACCATGAACTTTCTGATAAAATGACAAAGAAATCATTTTTTGTACTAAGATATTCCTAAATCCATCTTTTTATAGAAAAATTGAAAGCCCATCTGAGTGTCTACCAGTGGGGAATAGTTTGATATAGAAAATCAATGTGACATTACCCATTTACTAAAAATAGTTTTCAGAACTATACAGATAAAATATATGCATCAATGAAAAAGCGGGTTATGTAACTCTAAAGAAACTGTGGAAAAAAATGTATTCATGTGCAAAAATTACACAGAAGTATACAAAACTGCTTGGTTAGGATAGAAGGATCATTTCATTCTTTAATGTCTGTCTTTATTGATTCTGTAACTTGTTTTAAGTAATTAAAGTATTATCTGTTATTCCTATGGAAAAGAGTACCAGTTATTCCTCAAAAATGCCATACACTCTCTTCAGGCCCCCAGGCTGATTACATGCCATTAAAAATTAGCGAGTGTTTCCTACCCACCCAGTCCTGTGTGTTATCACTGAAATGGGCCATTGGGATTGGATACTTGACAAAACATATCCGACGTGGGAGTGTACAGAGAAGCATAGACCAAGTATATCTCCTGCAAAGAAGGGCAGAAAAGTTTAATGGATACAAGTGAAACCTCACTCTGCCTCATAATGGTGTGGACAAGTGGCAGGAAGAGGCGTTTGGGAGTCAGGCACAAAGAGTTGCGCTAAAAGTCTAGGTTGGTCAAATTGTGTCCTCATGTGCTGAAGGACCTTAGTTATGCCCGCTTCGTGGCATCCTGATGACGGTGAGAAAGTCATGTGGTTCTCCTAACGCAGCATCACCTCGTGGGTGACCAGTAACCACAGGGCAGAGGGATGCTGAGCAGAAAGGACATGAATTGGCATCAAAGGAGTCTTTCGAACATTGCATTTCCTCTCTAAGCAATGAAGGTAAACCCTGTGTCTCCTCCAGACACTACTGACTGAAGAGAGATATCAGCACCATCAGCACCACTAAAAGTAATGTTGGGAGCCAAAGTGTTGCCATGAGATTCACCGAATGGTTGTGGAGAGAGATAGCAGCAGTATAATGCAGAGATCGAGCTGCCACCTCCTGAACCTACTTAAGGATCTTAGCATCACAACAAGTGGGACAACCAGCCTTTATATTTAACCCTCAATGCGATGCATATAAAGTCACAGCACCTCATAGAAGTACCCTTAACGAAAGATGTCAAGAGGGATTGCTGTAGATTAAAATTGACTTAAGAGCCATAATTATCAGAGACATAGTATGAAATTTGGTACCTTGATTCAAACAATGTAACTATAAATAGGGGAAATATTAAGATGGACTGTGTATTATATCATAGTAAAGAATTATGCCAATTTTGTTGGATACAGCATTGGGATGGTTGGCTCCAAATTAAATTTAGAGCTGCAGAGACAAGTTATTAGGAATTAAATGTTCTGATATATGTAATTCACCTTAATATATTTCAACAGAGAAGAAAGAGAAAAAAATGAAAGGAATATAAAGGAAATGTGGCAAACAAATGTTTATAATTGTTGGGTTGTCATCATAAATATATGAGTGTTTATTGTACTTTTCTCTCCACTTTTGTGTATACTTGAAATGTTTTATAACAAAGAGTTTAAAATAGATAAATAAATTCCTAGAATAGTAACTTGCCAAAAATTGTTGTCTGTGATTTTTTTTTTTCCTGAGCAAGATTTAAGAGCTAATTTTTCCACGGCTGTTGTTGAGAGGCAAAGAGTTCTTTGGGATCATGGGTGATAAAAACAGACCTTTTCACATGCCACTACTGGGAGAGTCAACTGATGCAATTTTGGTGGAGTGCAATTTGGCAATAACTACCATAGGACAAATACCCTTACCCATCATTCTAACTTCTAAGAATCTATTCTATAAATATATGTGGAGGTATGCTATGAAATGTTCAAAGGCATTCCCTACAATGAATGTTCAAAGACATTCACTGCAATGATACTTTAATAGCAAAGAACTGAAAGGACAAGTTGTCTACCAATAGGCAACTGGAAATTATTATAAGAAATTATCTTAATATTATAATTAATTATAAGAAATTATCACCGTTCAGAGAATGGAAAGTTTAAGCAGCCCTTATAAATAATGTATTAGAGCTATATTGCCAATACGAGATTGTTTCCCAAGATATCTGACATTAAAAAATGGTGCAGAAAACTATGAACCCATTTGGAGTTTTAAAAAATGTCTGAATGGATACAAGAAATGGATAATAATAGTTATCTTCTGGGCATAGGATTAGCAGGAAAGAAAGTTTTCACTTTTCATTTTATATATTTGAATGTTTACCACATGCTAATGTTATTTTATTTATTTATTTATTTTTCTGAGATGGAGTCTCACTCTGTCACCCAGCCTGGAGTGCAATGGCACGATCTCTGCTCACTGCAACCTCCGCCTCCTGGGTTCAAGTGATTCTCCTGCCTCAGCTTCCCAAGTAGCTGAGATTACAGGCATGTACCACCAAGCCCAGCTAATTTTTGTATTTTTAGTAGAGACAGGGTTTCACCATGTTGCCCAGGCTGGTCTTGAACTCCTGACCTCAGGTGATCCAACCGTCTCACCCTCCCAAAGTACTGGGATTACAGGCGTGAGCTACTGCCTCTGGCCAACCATGTGCAAATGTTATTTTCTGTTATAAAAAGGAAAAGAAAAAAAATTGAAACCGAGAGAATTATGTGCCCTAAGTACTGAGAATGTTATCTTAAGAGTTATCCTAAGATTGTAATTACGAAGGTGATTCTGTTAGGGAAAATTTTATAAACTTACACAGTATTTAAAATGTATAAATTATGCAGGGTTTCAAGTTAACAAGAATAATTTTGCCTTCTATAGTAAGAGTAAATTGTACACAATTATATGCAACTCTGAAAGTACTTTGAAATCTTCAAATGACATTAATATAAAATATGAAATTCTACTGTCTTTTAAGTTCAGGTTATACCTGAGAAAACACTAGAGAAAGATTTCGTTTTGTCTACCATGGAACCAAAATTGACTTTGAATATGTATTATCCTTCTGTATCAAAAAATAAGACCTACCTGCCTCAGGTACTTTTTATGTTCATCATCTCATTGAATTATCATGATTATTCTGCAGGGCAGGTGGTATCCACCCTAATTTCCAGATAAAGAAACTGAGACTGGGGACATTAATCAACTTGCTGAAAATCACACGCAAGTGAAAAAACAGTCAAGAACCCACACACTTCACTCGGTTTGTCCTGACACTCTGCCTCTTTCATATAGGGAAAAACTAAAGGGAAAAAAGAGACAATAAAAACATCATCTGGTCTTTGGCCCTTGCTTTTACTCCTTTCTTGTTTTCTGCAACTAGCTGTGCCTTCCTCAGTGTGTCTTATGTCCTAGGAAAAGATTGTTAACAGAAAGCACAACAGGTATCCAGGATTGTAGTTTATTAAACAGAGTTTTCTTAAATATTTTCAGTAAAACAGAGAATTAACAGCTCATTGGGTTTTTTTCTTTTTCCCTAGATATTGTGGATGCTTTATCAGATCCAAAGAAATTTCTCTCAATTACAGAAAAGAGAGCAGACCAAATGAGAGCTATGGGCATTGAAACTGTAAGTAGAAATGGTTGATTAAAGATGGCCAAGTTGTGGGAGTTTCATTATCAAACAGTGTTTACAAAAGCAAGATAAAGTAATGAATTAGCAAATTTAAGGAGTAATGAATTAGCGATTTTAAAACTGAGCTCATCAATTCAACAATAGTTGACTTTCTACAAAAGTGTGGCATGTTTAATAAAATGTGACTACCATCAGAAAAATCCACTTCATCATCAGTGGCTTAACTCACATCTGGGGACCCCTTCCCCATGAGAAAGTAAATGAAAAACATTTTGTTATGCTTTTAGGAAAGTTTAAAATGTAGGTGGAGCATTTCTAATCAGAAAATCCAACATCTGAAATGTTCTAAAATTCAAAACTTTTTGAGTGCTGTCATGAGATAGTCATACCTTTGTTTTTTGAAGGTTCACTGTGCTTAAACTTTCTTTCATGAACAAAATTACTAAAAATATTGTATAAAATTACCTTCAGGCTGTGTATAAGATGTATATAAAACATTAATGAATTTTCTGTTTAGACTTGGGTCCCTTCCCCAAGATACCTCATTATATATATGCAAATATTCCAAAATCTGATATCCAAAACATTTCTGATCTCAAGCATTTTAGATAAGGAATATTCAAATTGTACCGTACAGGACGTTTCTGTGATACACTAAAATACCAGTTATCCCAGTTTAGTGAATTAATGATAATTGCTTTCTATTTTTAGTTATTTATTTTTTAACAGATAGGATCTCACTGTGTTGCCCAGGTTAGAGTGCAGTAGTGTGATCATAGCTCACTATGAACTTAAACTCCTGGGTTCAAGCCATCCCCCTACCTCAGCCTCCTGAGTAGTTGGGACTACAGATGCGTGCCACTGTGCCTGGCTAATTTTTTTTAATTTTTTTTGTCAAAACAGGGTCTCACTCTGTAGCCTAGGTTGGTGTCAAAGTCTTGGCCTCAAGCAGTCCTCCCACCTTGACCTGCCAAAGCATTGAAATTACTGGCGTGAGCTACCATGCCCAGTCAAAATGGCATTTATTATTGATTTTTCACTGTTTGCCAGCCTTGCATCCCAACCTTCTCCCATTCCAGTGCACATGTGGGTTGTTTCTTTGTTTTTAAATGTTATCTTTACCAAAATCCTCAGTTTGGAATGGATGTAGCATCTCTCCAATAGCTAGAAAAAGAGAAAGTATTCTCTGCTTGTTAATAAGTTGGATCTTCTTTCCTTGGCTGGATCCTTTGCCTTTAAGAGAGTAGAAGTCTAGGAAGGGTATAGTAGAAGTTTACAGTAAAATAAAGAATGTACAAGATATTTGACCTTGAGTGACATTCGTTTGGGTCAATGTAAATGTTTCTGTTCTAGAGTGACATAGCCGATGTGCCCAGTGACACTTCCAAAAATGACAAGAAAGGAAAGGCCAATACCACCAAAGCAAACGTGACCCCTCAGAGTAGCTCTGAGCTCAGACCAACCACCACAGCTGCCCTGGCCTCTGGTGTGGAAGCCAAGAAAGGTGAGAGAGAGCCATTGGGCTCCTTTTCTTCTGCACCCGCCTTAATTACACAGGGTACAATATCTATAGCTTTAGGAAATAGATAAATTCGAAGTTCTTTGTGGGAAAGAACCTTTTACACAGTGATGTTAACTAATTCATCCCCACTCTCTTCCAGACCCTCCCATAGGTACTTATCTGGACAGGCAGTGGGCTCATGAACCAACAGAGTTATCACTATTGGACATTTCTAAATTCTCATACTGATAATTTCCCCCCATAAGTAGATGTTTAGCATCCATGATTATTTGTTTGTAAAATTATCAAATGAGCATTTGAAGGCCAATTCCATGTGTTTACCAGTGGATGAAAAGAAAGATCGTTAAGAGTTGTCATCAGCCAGTGTGTAGGGAAACAACTGTGCTGGTTATTTTAATTGGTTTCCATTCTAATTGGTCAGACATCCCTTGATTGGGTGGTGCCCATTCCATATTGGAGGGAAAGGGGGCAGGGAGAATGCTGATAGGGAGTGGCAAGGAGTTCATCTTTCCTGTTCTGGAAAGAATTCTGGGGTCACCCTGAGAAGGTCTTGGGAAATGAGTCAAAGGAGTGTTTTAAGAAAATTATAGTCTTGGCAGAAGAATTCATTGAAAGTGGGCATGCTAAGGGCCAGGTAAGAATTATGACACTCCTGCTTCTGTTATAACACACCTATCACATTGTGTTGATAGAGTATTAACAACCAGAGAATGAGGTTATTGCAGGTGAGACCACACCTCATTATCAGTGTGTGCCTGGAACCATGCCTAGTTAAGATATAGTAATCTATTTTCTTGGGAAGTAAAGGGCTGTTTAATGAATGATAGGGACAAGGAAGTCTGGATTAAGTTGGAAATTGTCAAAAGGAAGGAAGAATAGAAATAAGTTGGCAGCTTGGATATGGGCCTTAGGGAGAAAGGGGCTTTGTGGTAACTCAGACTTCATGGACAAATCCCAGAGATAGATGGTACCATTGAGAGAAGTAGAGGAGTTAGGAGGAGGAGCTGCTTTTGGTAAAGACGATGATTTTGGTCCTGTATATCACTGAGGTCAAGCTGTTGCTGATACATTTGGGCAGAAATATGCAATTAACAAATCTATGCCAGGTACAGAAGAAGAAGGAGGGATAGAGAAACAGAATAAGTGTACTTAGAAGGCAGAATGAATGGGAAAAAAGAAAAAAGAGAGGTCTATGTTCTAAGAAGAATTAGTTTTGAAAAGATGCTGTAGATAAGTCCAGAGAAGTGAAGACTACAAAATTATTGTTGAACCAGCAATGATTGGATGATGGCAGTATAAACACGGTTAGAAAAATATGAGACATAATTTAAGACATAAGATAGTTGTTCTGGAGGACAGTAGCATGTTGGTAGGAACTAATAAGGGAAAACAAGGAAAATGCAAAAGAGAGTACATGGTAAAACAAGACCATAAGGAAGATCTGAATCAACAAAAAGCGTGAAATTCAGCTGGATAAGGAAGGAAGAGATATGTTCTGTCTGAACCAAGAAGAATGATGAGTGAATAGAAGCTTCAGGATAGACAGGAAGAATTCTGACAGATGGTGTATCAGTCAGCTTACGCTGCATAACAAATGACCTCAAATTTTAGTAGCTTAAGACAACTACCATTTATTGAGATCATGTTTCACTGGGTTGGTTGATCTAAACTGGCTTGGCTAATCTCTGTGTCTTGTTATGCACCTGTGATCAGCTGATAGGTTGACTGGAAAGTAGATGTGGGATGACCTTATGCACACCTCTGTCATTTGGCAAGTTGTTTCACATCATCCTGAAGCCTGAGCAGGCTTATTCGTATGGTACTCCCTGAGTTTAAAGAGCAGCCCTTTTCCAGCCTCTGCTGGTATATCATTGGCCATAGCAGGTCACAAAGTGAACCAATATTCAAGGGGTAAAGAAGTAGACTCTACCTCTTGATTAGAGGGGAAATAAATAGTGGTCATTTTTGTAGTATAACATAGATAGATTCTATCTGATCTAAGAAGTTGGTTAGGTGGCTACTCTCTGCTGAGAAAGGTAGAGGTAGAACTGAAAAACAACAATATAGAAAAGCTTTGGAGTTGCCACTGTCTGGAATAGAACGATCCACAAGAAATAAGGAGGAGGTCTGCCACATAGCACACAGGACCCTGGTGAGGGTTGGTGGTGTGTATTAAGTTGATGTAGCTTGATCTCATTACTTCTTCAGCAGTGCCCAGAAACTCAGCAACAACTATGAACAAAGTACAGCTTAGGGAATTGCAAGCCTGAAATTATCATAATGTGTATGGTCTGGGACCAAAAGATTGAAGAGCATTAAGTTACGACATTGTAACAGTGGGCTATTGCTGTGTAACAAGCAACTGTAAAAGTCAGAAATTTAAATAAAGTAAGCATGTATTATAGCCCATGAGGTTGTCTGGGTGACTTTTCTGGTAATGGGTGGATTAGTATCAGTGACTCAGCTAATCTTAGCTATGCTTATTCAAATGTTTGGGGTTCAGCTAAGGTGTTATTGGCTGGGACAAGTGGGCTGTCTTCCTTGTGAACTGTCATCTTTCATCAGCTTAGCCTGGGCTTGTTCACATGGCAGTTGTAATGTTCTAAAATGGAGGTGAAAGTACAGATGCTCCTTGACTTATGACAGAGTTACATCCTCATAAGCTGAACATATCGTTAAGTCAAAAATGTGTTTAATACCTAAGCTACTGAACATCATAACTTAGCTTAGTCTAGCCTATTTAAAATGTGCTCAGAACACCTACATTAGTCTACAGTTGGGCAAAATCATCTAACACAAAGCCTATTTTATAATAAAGTGTTAAGTATTTCATGTAACTTATTAAGTGCAGTACACTGTAGAGTATACAGCTGACTGAGAGCTGAGGCTTGCTGCAGCCCCAGTGTGTATCTCTAGCTTAGGAAAAGATCAAAATTCACAATTCAACATATGCTTTCTACTGAATGCATATCACTTTTGCATCATTGCAAAGTTGAACCACTGTAAGTTGGGGACCATCTGTATGTCAGGTTCCTTGATGAGTCCTAGACTTAGAACTGGCATGATATCCTTTCCACTACATTCCATCATCCCAAGCAAGTCACATGGCCCAGCCCAGATTCAAGAGTTGGGGAAACAGATTCCACATCTTGATGGGAGGAGTTCCAAAGTCACATGTAAGTAGGTGTGGAAACAGGGAGGGGTAGAATTTTTTGGCCATTTTTGCACTCAGTCTGCCACCCTGATCATAATTTATAGGTTAATGTTCCAGGGGGTAGATACTAGAGGAGAGAGACTTTGCTAGGAAAGGAAAAGGTTAAAGGGAACCGGAAACAAGATGAAAGTAAAAAGCTTGCTTGGTAGGTGTAAGGGAGTGAGTGAAGTTGGCAGGATAGAGATTGCAGTCAGAAAGAGGTACCTCTAAGTACGTGTCTTGGAGGAGGGGCAGTTTCAAGCAGTGTTAACATCCCGTTTACAGCTGTCAGTGGGAGGTGACGTAAAGTGGAGATGAAGATTTCTAGAATGGAAGGCATCATGGAAATAGAAAGGAAAGTCACCCAGCATATTCTTCTCATGCATATTGAATCACTGTGTTGGATGTCTGGGAGTGCCTGCATAGGAAAACCACAAGTCAGATACTGAAGTTCATGGGGCAGGGCAGTGTGTGACCTAGAAGGACACACGTGGAGGTAGCTAGGCTCAGCAGAGCCTGGTGTAAGTGAGAGGTCTGTTCTTTTGTATGATAGCTTTTAGGAGAATGGCATGGAAGTACAAGAGAGAAGTTTGTAGGTGTTTTTTTCCCACACCTCTCCATGGATTGGGGTGGAGTGGGGAGTAAACTCTACTCCAGGAGCCTTTGGGGGAAGAGATGTCATTTGAGAAAGCAAGCTTCCATTTCTTTCCAGAAAACTGTCTTAATTTGAGTCACCCCAAAGCAGACCCTGAGAGAAGCCTTCCAGTGCAAGTAGTTTATTCTAGGATGCAGTGGACATGGATAGAGGTGTGAAGAAGTGACACCAGGGAGGGAAGGCAGTCAGTAATTAGAATGTTTTAAAGCCAGTTGCCAGGAGGCACCTGGAACTTAATGTCCTGGAGAAACTGTGGGGGCTAGTATTCCACATACTTCTCAGATGTCTCCTCTTAGAGGGAAGAGGGAGCTGGGGAATGTATACCCTGACTCCTGTCAGCCTTTTCTTGAGGGTTCCCGTGGAAGGGATAAATTTCTCGACATTCGGACGCTGGCAATTGGAAGTGAACTAGAAGAGCTGATGTAGAGAGGGCATGGTGTGTGGCTGGAGCAGACAGCGTTTGCTACAGACATCTATGAAGGTGGGGAGGTGTGAAATTCCAAACGGTTTTTCTTAGACATTCAGCCAAATGGCAACGACTGCACCAACACAACTTTATTTTTCTTTCTGATTTTAAGAACAAAGGATTAAGAAAACCCAGCTCCTAATTTCCAGATTAGCGATTAAGAGAAAACAAGTTATTGTTAAGGAACTATGCTGATATGAACAAAAATTTTATGTAGTGAAACTTCAATTAGCCAAAACCTTTGGGGCCCCAAATGTGCTGCCTAACCTACTTTCATACCAGGGAAGCCTGTAGACCTGCAGGGTCCTATATAGTAGCCACTAACCACATGGGGCTACCACTAACCACATGGGGCTATTTGAATTTCTTTAACAATTAACTTAAAAGTTAAACCTTGAGTTCCTCATTCACACTAGCCACATTTCAGGTGCTCAAGAGCCACAGGGGGCTAGAGGCTGTCAGTTGGACAGACCCATGCGTGGAACATTCCCATTATCATGCAAAGCTCTATGGGGAAGCCTGTTCTCCGCACGCAGATGGAACTGTCCTCTTCTGTAGAATGTGGGTATTTTTTCTAACTAAATCACTTATGGGAACCAAAATTTTTACAAACTGTGTCTTTCCCCCAAAACACAAAACCAGGTAATTGAGGGAAGTTTATGTTTTTGTAGGTTTCTTTTAATCAAGACTTAGCTGAACCAAGAACAAAAAATAAAATAAAAATTGAGAGAGAGAGAGAGAAAGTTTCATCAGACTGGGTCAAACTCATAGAATTTGCTAGATCTCTGGAGAACCTTGCATACTCCCCAAATCCTGTATGTTCATTTTTATAGACGAGCGAGCTGAGGCCTAAAGACAGGGAGCTCTTTGTGTGCCAGGAGTCACTCTCTTGCCTTACCCTGCCTCAGTCACTGGGGAGATAGCTTGTGAAGGCCAACTTAGGAGATCAGTAGAGAGCCCCCACGGACCCTTCACACCCTGATCATAAAATGTTACAGATCACAAGGCTGATTTCCCTCAGCCAAAACTTTCCTTCTGCGGCCTGACCACCCTGTCATTGAATGTGCACATCTTAAAATGAATAAAAGGGAAAAACAAGAGCCTGGGACTTGATGCCTATCTCTCTTAAATATATCATACCTAGCCTTTGGGATTCTAATGGAAATCAATTATAGCACCGAGTGCACATTCATTTTGTTTGCCTAAGATGAAAATCTGCAGTCAAACAGAAACTGTTTGAGGATCTGGCTACAAATGTTGTTGCTATGACAACACCTGGGTTAGCATCACTCAGATGGTAGGATGACTTAGTGTATTACCCTAGCTCCTCCTGATAGCCTCCTGTTATACACTGGCTTGATTTTATTAGTTCCTGTATGTTTAAGGCATTGCTATGCTCAATAGCACATTGCTTAAATGCTAAGATTGAATTTGGTAAAAGGGAGAAGCCAGAAAAAAATGTTTTATTCTGTCATGATGACTGAATTGAGAATAGAGTTGGGAATTAGTTGACTGGTATGATATGCCTTGAAATACAAAGGTAAGAGTAAGGATAATAGATGCTTTGGTGCCTGATCAGCTTCCCTTTATGGGTTCACTATCCCATCTCCCAGCTCCTATGAATTTTGGCTGATTGGACATTTCACTGCCCTTCTCCAGAGAATTGCCCTGAGACCATGAGAGTTCCCTTGCCTGAAAGGTTTTGTGAAACCTCTATAGCTCTCAGCTGATTGATCCAGGGTTACAAAAGCCCAGCCTCTTTTTGCCAAGGTGGAACGACTCTTGGGTGCCATTTGTACTGAAGAGCTCCCTGTAGGATCAGACTGAGGCTGTATTTCAACTGGAAACACACCCTACCTTCTTCCTCTGCCCCGCTCCACTTCCTTCATTCCCTTAGGGGTTTCTCCTGAGAGTCTGCCCTCAATCAGTCACATGCACATGAATCCCCTTCTTAGGCTCTGCTTGTAGGAAACCTGACCTAAGTTAAGACATGCAACATTTCAATTATCCAGTTAATTGCTTTGTAATAGGAACTTAAAGATGTTTATATTCATCACGTGTAAAGCTGCTTCAAAGTCTTCCGATGAGATTTCAATATGTCAATTCTATATTATCAGTTATTCTCTCTAGTTTTTAGTATACATAGTGACTTAATTTTTTTGTTGTTGTTTAGGTATTGAACTTATCCCTCAAGTAAGGATAGAAGATTTAAAGCAGATGAAGGTAAAATTGCTTGACTATTCTGCAAGCACTCTTGTATTACACATATTGGTGACACCAATATATTTTTGTTTCTCACCAAGTGTAATCATTGTGATTACAAAAAAGAAAACAAACAAACAAAACTATTTTTGATTCTATTTTTCTCCCAAAGGCTTACTTGAAGCATTTAAAGAAACAGCAGAAAGAGCTAAATTCTTTAAAGAAGAAACATGCAAAGGTACAGTGTTTTAAAGCTGCTATTTTGTGTTATGTATGGATGAATCATTTGTAGCCAAAAACACTACTTTGAAGCTGATACCAGACCATTTAACAGCAATAACTCATTCTAACTGGTCAACAATGAAATTAAAAAATAGAATCTGTTTGGGAGTGCTTGTCACTGGTTTGTAGTCTGCATTTCTAACAATTCTTTCAAATGCATAGCAAAGCTTCATCCATTTAAAAATTGTTTCACTAGGCCAGGCACAGTGGCTCATGCCTGTAATCCCAGCACTTTGGGAGGCCAATGTGAGTGGATCACGAAGTCAGGAGTTCGAGAGCAGCCTGACCAACATGGTAAAATCCTGTCTCTACTAAAAATACAAAAATTAGCTGGGCGTGGTGGCATGCCCCTGTAATCCCAGCTACTCAGGAGGCTGAGGCAGGATAATTGCTTTAACCCAGAAGGCAGACGTTGCAGTGAGCTGAGATCGCGCCATTGCACTCTAGCGTAGGTGACAGAGTGAGACTCCATCTAAAAAAAAAAAAAAAAAAAATTAGTTCAAAATAACATGACTATATAAAATATTGAAGAGCAGCTCACAATTCTAGCCACTAGTTACCTAAATTGCCAGATCACTGTCACATAGTTTGCCATACACAGTGGTGCGTGGAAGGAGATGCTAGCAATCTCTCAACCTCCCACTCATAGCACCTAGAGAGAGAACACTTGTCACTTTTTCTCCTTTATGTAAACCTTGCCCAGTTGCCAGCCTATTCTGAAATAGATTTATTCTTGCTTTTTACCCATAAGAAGTGGTCTTTTTTGACAATGATTATGAAAAATTATAAGAGCTAGTTGCAAATTATAAGACAACAGCAGGAGGTGGCTCCAGGAATTATCCTGTGGGTTGAAAAACTTCACGCCACTCAAACATCATCACTTCCAGACTCCCTCACAGGTAAAGAAGGAAAAGGTAGTACCTCTTTCCTTCCTAAAGACGTATAGTAACCAGCTGCTGCTGGTAGGGTAATGTCTGTCCTCTTCTATTCAGGGCAATGAGAGCAAGAGAAACTTAATTTATAATTTATTAATTTGAAACAACGTCTGAGTTCTTTTAAACTAATCTTGCAGTCCTACTTCTTTATTCTCTGATCCAAGCCTCAAACCAAGGCATGTCTTTCAGAACTTGGCTTGAGTAATATACCTTTTAATCATTCCACATATTGAGATGCCGAGAACATTGTCTGGAAACCTGTTATTTCTTTAAGAGTCTGTGCTCCTTTGAGAAGTTGGGCCTACTCTTATCCTAGTAATGTTCCCTGTATTATTGAACTGCTGGCTCAATGGATTTGCTGATACAGTCACTTCGCTTCAAAGACTGTTTGTTTCTAAGTTTCATAAATAATTCCATTCAGTGAAATTCCTTACATTGCTCAATGGGGTTATTGGAGACTGAACAATTTAAAGTAGGGACTTCTTCAGTGTTGTTGGTTATTGACAACAGGCTGAACTACGGAAAGTCAACAGAAAAAGAGTAAGAATGAGAAATAAGAAAGAAAGCACCTTAAATGACTTCAATTATTAGGAATAGAGTGGGTGCCCGTATGCTGCAGCACTATCTAACAGATTTTTCTTGCATTTAAATTAGATCTCTTTTATTGAGCAGACACCTCAGTGGCCTTTGGGCTAGTTGGAAACATAGAGATTTTGGCTTCATTTAATATTTTCTTGAGGCATGGCCAGAAAATATGCTGTGATGGGTGGTAATAATAGCAACTAGAATTCCTGCATGCTCAGTAATTTTCAGATGCTGTACTCAGCACTTTACATGCATTGTCTCATTTAACACTCTCTACCCTATAAGGTAAATTCTATGTGAGTCTCTATTTACATGTGAGGGAATTAGGAATTAGTGAAGTTATCTGATGTCCCAGAGTTAGGAAGCAGCAGAGCTGATATTTGAACCAAAATCAAGAGTCCAGAATCCATACTCTTGCACCATTCTCCTGTGTAGGATATGGGATGCTTCACTAAGTGGACAAGTTCCCTCACTGGGTCAAATGCAGTGATATCACCTGGGACATTATGGAAAATCACTATCAACTTTGGATAGAGTTGATACATTGCTGATTATCAGGACTGTGACTAAGAAAGGATGCTCCTCAGTTTTTAGAATTTAACCTACATCGGAGTTGTCTATTTACTCCCTGGAGCCATCAGGCCCTGCCCAAGCTAACTTCTAAGATGAAGAATATAATGAATATTTACTTGCCTAATATATACTGATGCCAGCTCTGTTAACATGTCTTTAGGCCAGACATGGTGGCTCATGCCTGTAATCCCAGCACTTTGGGAGGCCAAGGCAAACAGATCTCAGCCAAGGTCAGGAGTTCGAGACCAGCCTGGCCAACATGGCAAAACCCTGTCTCTACTAAAAATACAAAAATTAGCCAGGCGTGGTGACGGGTGCCTGTAATCCCAGTTACTTGGGAGGCTGAGGCAGGAGAATCACTTGAACCCGGGAGGCGGACGTTGCAGTGAGCCGAGATTGCACCACTGCACTCCAGCCTGGGTGACAAGAGCAAGACTCTGTCTCAAAAACAAAACAAAGCAAAACAAAACAAAACAAAAAAGCCAACAAAAGAAAAACATGTCTTTAAAACTGAAAACTGAAAAGCTGGTTAAAGAGAGGGGCACAATGTGGTGAATCTATTACCATTGGACATACTTCATGCCTGATCTCCATACGATGTGTTTATCCTAACACTGATTTTTCTGTCAGTCAGCACTTTTAAAGTGGCAATACTAGCTTATACATATTGATACTTGCTTAAGCGCATATTCTTAGGTATTCTCATAACAGTTATATAAAGGAGTACTATAATTATATGAGTATGTGAGTTTTGTATCGGTTAGCTTTTGCAGGGTAACAAACCACCCTAAACTGTAGTGACTTAAAACAAGTGACTTAAAACAATTTGGCTCACAATTTTGTGCATCAGCAGTTGGAGCTGGGTTTAGCTGGATGGTTCTTCTGGTCTCAGCTGGATTCACTCATGAACCTGCTGTTACTACCAGTTTGGTTGGCAGATGGGGGACTGGCTGATTTAGGACAGCCTCTACTAAACCACTTCCTCTCTGCCTTATGTGGTCTCATGTCTTCCAGCAGGCTAGTCCAGGCTTGTTCACATGACTGGGGTCCCGAGAGACCAAGCAGATCACGCATGGTTTCTTGTGGCCCCAGCTCAGAACTGACACACCATCACTTCCACCTCATTTTTTGGCCAAAGTAGGTCCTAAGTCTGGCCTTATGAGGACTCTACCTTTTGACAGGTCTCAAAGTTACATCAGAAGTGGGATTGGATACAGAAAGGGAAATAACTGTGGCCATTTTTATAGTCTGCCAGCCATTCAACAGATTAGCTTATTAATACTTAAAAAAACTCAACTTCATTAAATCACCTAGTTTTTAAGTGGTAGAGTCAGGATTTGAACCAAATTCAGCCTGACTTGAGAACTCAGACTTGTAACCACTACACTCAGCTGCCTCTGATGTTTCCCACACTAATTTTTCTTCTCTTCACACATCTTTTTCTTTATGGTCTCAGTAACAGGTTTTTAAGAGCAGTCATGAACCTATCGGGCACAGATGTCTTGGGTTCCTTCAGGACTGGTTTTTCAACATAAGGTCATTGGGCCAAGAGCTGGAGGCTTTACAAAAAATATGTATTCTAGTGCCTACCTGACACTTAGCTATCATCCCTAAGAAAAGAGTATAGGAAATATGATTTAAATAAACTCCTCTCCTCTGCATGCTAAATTTTGAGGACTGTTTTTTTAGGAATATTATGTAGCACTTTTTACTTTCTCTTGACCCCTTAATAGAAACCCCACTAATTGCCTGCAAAGACGCTTATCAAGCCTCCCTAAAGAAACAGAGGTTTTACCCTCTTGCCACATAATAGTGAGAATTAATTCCCCCATCCTTTCTGTGAAAGGACATCTTCAGCTCTTTTATAACAGTTTTCAGCCACCCAACATGGAGCTAAGGCTTACCACCCCAAAACCTTGTGTCATAAAATGACCTGCTGAAGACGAAATATGGCCTGGGCTGCACTCTCCCTACTACTGTGCCCCTGGCCCAAACAGCACTTGGTAGCTAAGAACAGAAACTAGTATTTAGTCTATATCCAGCGACTGTAGGGAGATCTCAGCTCTTACATATTAGCCTAGATCAAGCTTGTCCAACCTGCAGCCCCCAGGCCACATGCAGCTTAGGGTGGCTTTGAATGCAGCCCAACACAAATTTGTAAACTTTCTTAAAACATTGTAATATGTATGCATAGACCTTTTTTTTTTTTTTTTTTTTAGCTCATTGGCTATTGTTAGTGTCAGTGTTTTACGTGTGGCCCAAGACAATTCTTTTTCCAATGTGGCCCAGGGAAGCCAAAAGATTGGCCTAGATAAATAATTCTAATTTTTAGACTTAAAGGGAAGCAGAGAATCTATGAACTAAATCTCAGCAGTTTAAGAAATAAATGTATGGTCCCAAGGCCAGCTTATTTCCAAACTTGCAGGTTAGCTACCAGATAGAAAAGGAACAGTGGTGTGAATGTGAGGTTCTGCCATTTGCAATTAGGTGTGTGATTTGCTGTTAGGATATTGAGAAGAAAAGATGGGGGTAATGACCATTTGCACCCCAAATGGATATAACAATGCTCATTAAAATGCCTATTTTTGGAAAATGGCAATGGTCAACTGCCTTTGACCCTCTGAGTGTACTGGCAATTAGACTTGTCTCTTACTTTCTAGAACCACTTCAATTCGAAATGGAAACTAGGGCAATGGTTTTTCAAGTGTCTATTACATGAGACACAGAAAAACGAGAATTAATTAGTAATAATCCTCCCCCAGCACGTGACTCATTGGGATCCAGAGCTGCAGTTACTTTCATTAAGAGACAGGCATGCTTTTCAATTGTCCAATGAGGTCAATTTCTTAGAGCCAAAAATGTAAAACCCAAAGTTGGATACATATCTCCATAACATGTTAGACGTGGAATTACAATTCAAATGCCTATGGTGACCAAGCAGGAAGTAGCTGAGGGAAGTTGGCCAGGTGTTGACTCCACAAAAGCTGGGAGCACTCATCTCTATCCACAGGCCAAGTCAGACTGAGCTATCACCATTGGTGCCTGGAGAGTAGATGGGCCAGTCGTGTTCTCTTAGAGGAGAATCAAAAAATCAGAAAGCTTATCTGAATTTCCTGATCTTTTATTATCAGCCTCTAATTCAACCTCTTTTTGAAACCGCATAGGCAAAAAAAACCAAAAAAACAAAAAAAATCCCAAAACTAAAAACTACATCTGCAGGCTGGATACAGTCCTTAGGCCACCAGTTTGCAGCATCAACATTAAATGAGTCAAATGAAATGCCTGAGAAGCCTACTAAACTCTGGCATTTTTAGTAAAGCTACTGATGGAAAATTTTCTCTTTGCTATGCAAGCAATTTAGATGACAGCACCAGCACTGTTGTTAAACTCATCCATTTTAATTCATGGTCAGACCTTAGAACCAGACCTATAACTTGGTTTTGCAGTGGAAAGGGGCAGAGACACAGTGGTTGCGCGCAGAGTCCACCTATTGGTAATCTCAGAGTTACATGTTGAGCAAACATGATTTACTCCAATTTTTCAGCACCCTCTGTGGTGCGATCATTCACGCCCATAGTCACATTAGTCACAAGAATGAATTGCAGCGGCAGTTTTTCCCAGAAGAAGCTGAATTTACTCTTAACTTGGATAAGAAACATACACAAATTCTTCTAAATGCTGTACGTGTTTTTTCCCCAAAATGTCCCAGTTAAGATTGACTTTAAGTCAGCACATTTGATTTTGGTACTCTTGGCTTGAATGAATGAGAAATGTATGTCTCTTCCATAGTTTTTCATGATTTAACTAAGGACCAAAAGAATAAAATCAATAATGGACTTTTTTTTTTTTTTAAGCTAAGATGGACTTAGAGATCATTTCATGCCTTCTTCATTTTATAGCACAAGAAGCTGAGACTTGACCGGAGTCACATGGAAATCAGTAATTAGGATCCCCATTTCTTTCTGAAAGGAGAAGTAGTGTCTGGGCATCAAGTTATCCCAGAACACTTCAGCAATGACTGCCTACCACACAGGGATGGAGTTTTGAGTAAAAAGAGAAACAGAGACAATTTTTCAGGACCAGCTTTCCTGTTACTGACATTAATTGTAATCACTTTCATTCAATATGCTTTCAGTTTTTCAAATTATTTCTGCATATGTTGGGTAACCTTGCACCTCATAAGCAACTCATGAATTAGGTTAGGCAAAGGTACCTAACTCAGTTTTCTTTTCTTTTCTTTTATGTTTTTTTTTTGAGATGGAGTCTTGCTCTGTCACCCAGGCTGAAATGCAATGGCATGATCTCGGCTCACTGCAACCTCTGCCTCCTGGGTTCAAGTGTTTCTCGTCCCTCAGCCTCCAGAGTAGCTGGGATTACAGGTGTGTACCACCATGCCCAGCTAATTTTTGTATTTTTAGTAGAGATGGGTTTTCGCCACATTGGCCAGGCTAGTCTTGAACTCCTGACCTCAGGTGATCTACCCGCCTCAGCCTCCCAAAGTGCTGGGATTATAGGCATGGGCTACAGTGTCCAGCCCTAACTTAGTTTTCTAATAAAGACATTGAGGCCTGGGAAGATTTATATGTTTTATACAAGGGCAGTTGGTTAATTATTGGCTGAGCTGGGACCACAGTCTAAGTCCTCTTGCTATTTTTCCCATGCTGACTTTTTACTCATGCAATAAATACTTACTGAGCATCTACTTTGTACCAAGCTTTGTGCCATGTACTGTTAAAGAGAAAAGACCTGCCCTGCCCTTGTAGGGCATATTACATAGAGTTGAATCCATCATAAACAACTTTGTGGTACAAACAGTCCCATTCCTCATATCTAATTGGATTAATAAGGTTCACCAACATATTTTCTTAGGATAAGATCTGTGTCAATTTATTTCCAAGCCTCAAAGTCTCCACTTGTCCTGTTCTGCACTAAAATATTTAAAGAAATAGTCTTCACCCTCCTTTCAATGATATTTACAAGATAATATAGGACTGTGGCACTTCTGATATATTTTGAGAATTGCAGAAAGCCCCTTATTTATTTAGTTGTTTTTTTGCCCAGGAAAAATTAACACGTGTGTTAGTCAACCATAATGACTTCTAAATCTTAGAAAGAAGACTAGGAGGAGGGCATTTTAGTAGGTACCAAGGTATTACAAGAGTAGTTAAATACATTCAGGGATACATCAACATGTTCCTCTATTCCTGGGGCAGTAGATCAAGTGTGGAGGAAAGATTTATTGATTTCATTAGTCTGATTGATATCCCTATCTCAAGTCACTCTCTGTATGTTATCATGGGTATTGAATAGTATAGATAGGTTTGTATGTCACTGTGTTTGGAATAAGCTGTAACACACATTTAAAACGTGATTTACATTAGATTTACTTTTAATCCTAACAACCCTATGAAGTAAGTATCACTATCCCAATTATAAAGATGAGCATACTCTGGAAAGGTAAGTGACTCGCCCCAGGACTGAAGAACGCATGGCCTTAACCCAGTGCCACATTGCAGAAGCTCTGGCTGAAATGTGTTTATTGGACAAAGCTGTACACACATTGGTAATATGGCTAGATTTATGGGGCATTCCAATAACAAATTAAGCAAGACATTGTTACTGTAAGCCCAGATCACAGCAAGTCCACCTAGCCTTTGTCCCCACTGTTAGTTCCTATGTTGGGAATCTTCCTATCCAGCATCACCCTTCTCCACTCCTTCTTCTAAAGACAAGAATGCTGAGGCCTTGTGCATGAATGCATTTCTAAAGAATTTGTATATAAATGAATTGTATGTCACGTCCTGTGTTAATTCACTTAACAGCTGGGAAATTAAGGAAGTCTTGGTAAAGACTTAAAAATTCCTTCCCCATTTATATGTTATGAAACCTTTAAAAGAAGTTCATGAATTAGATTTGCATAAAGTCAAGCCTACCTTAGAAAGAAAATTAATTTGCTTTTAAATTAAGTCACTCATTTTTTTCAATAAGTGAAAGGAAATATGACTGTGAGAGGGGTTATATAACGAGAACAACAGGTACACCCATTCCAGTCATGAATAGCATCCCATTTCTCTCGTTCTCAAGAGTAAGATTAGGCTATAACATCAAGTATCATTTAGAGTTGGAACTTTCTGATCGTACTGATTTCCTCTGTGCTTGGGAGGCTGAGCAGCTAAAGAAATCTGATTTCATGTAAGTCATTGGCTGTAGCCAAATGCCTTTTTCATTGTCCAGGAAGAAATAATGTTTATATTGAAATACCTACTTTCCAAAGCATTGCAGCCCCAATTTCAATGATTATGTGAAGCAGATGGGAAAATATTTTAAATATCTGTAAAACAGAAGACCATAGTCCTGAACACTTCATCCTCATAAACTGCATCTAGATAAGTAAGCCAGTGAAAATATTAAGTGATGTAGATTCAAATTCAGCTTCTGGTGACAAACACAGTGATGACTCTCGTTATATAATGATGGCATTCAAGAGCTCCAAAATGTGCAGATGTTTAGAAACCATGTCACATGATGAATAGTTACATTTAGCATATACAAGAGAAGAAATATGGTGGCTGAACTTGCATGTTTGAGGACTAATGTGTGGAAGGGGCAGTAGGCTAATTACTTGCCTCAAACAGCAGAACAGAGATGAATGGGTGGAAATACTACAGAGATGTGTATGTGTAGAAGAAAGGACTTCGAGATGATTGGCACTACCCACTGCTGAGCAGGGGTGCGTTTGAATTGGGCGTGTTCACTAGACTGAGGCTAGAGACTCCCATGTTGGGAATGCCCTTGGACAAAAAAACTGCTGTTGAATGGGAGATCTGGAATCTGCACTGTTCTCAGATTTGGTTACTCCTTGACTTTCTAAATGAAGACTCTAGGGAAACTGGAAAGTTATGCCAGCCCTATGTGGTGTGAGCCATGCTAAGAGTCCAGTTCATAACTGCAAATCCTTCTTGTTCAGGAGCACAGTACCATGCAGAAGTTACACTGCACGCAAGTTGACAAAATTGTGGCACAGTATGACAAAGAGAAGTCGACTCATGAGAAAATCCTAGAGAAGGCAATGAAGAAGAAGGGGTAATACTGTTTATTTCCTTCTGAAGACTTTCTCTATGTTTATATTTTGTCTTTTCTCACAGTTTTGCTGCTGTTTAGGTCAAGGAAGAACTTAGTGTTGACTTGATTTTCATCATTAAAAATTATCCATGGAAAGTAAGAAACTCATTCATTTTAAAGCTCTAACATCATAACAGGTCAATGAGTGGATGTAGCTTCTGGTTTGGGGAAGGTTCTCAGCAGAGATTCTGAAATCTTTTAATTCATCATAATTAGTTCTAATATGAGAAAGAAAGCTTAGCCTCAAATAATTGAAAAAAATACCTCTTTACTCTGAGAATTGATTGTCCTTTCTAATTTTGAACTAATTTTAAATTTACAGAAAAGTTGCCAAAATAGTACAGAGACTTCCCTTATACCCTTAATTCATTTTCCCTAAATGTTAACATCTCACATAATCATAGTATAGTTGTCAAACCAGGAAACTAACAGTGGTGCAATACCATTAACCAAGCCACAGTGATTTTTCACATTTTGCCAGTTTTTCCACAAGTGCTTGTTTTCCACTCTGGGATCGCCTCCAAAATTACACATAGCATTTAGTTGTCATCTCAGTATATGATAATTCCTCAACTCTCCCTGTCTTTTGTGACTTTCACTTTTGAAGAGTGCTGGTCAGTTGTTTTGTAGAATGTCTCTCCTTTTGGATTTGTCTGATATTTCTCATGATGAGAGTGAGGTTATGCATTTGTGGCAAGCGCACCACAGAAGCGATGCTGCTTCCTTCTCAGTCCATGATATTGGGGGGGGTGGGGGGGTGACACTGATATGTCCCATTATTGATGATGTTAACCTGGAAGACGTGGTTAAGGTGGTATCTGACAGGTTTCTGCACTCTCAGGTTACTTTTTTCCCTTTATAAATACTTTGGGGAAAATTCCGTGAGACCATGCATACATTCTATTTATCTGAGAAATTATTTTTCCTCCTTTTGACCTTCCCCATGGGTTCTCTCTGTTTTTTATCTCTTTCCTTCAATCCCTGCTGATGTCTTCTAGTTTTCCACAACCTTTGGCACGAGAGAAAAGGAGAATGAGATTTCTTTTTCGTACTTGGGTTTTTTGGTGTTTGGTTTTTGTTTTCTATTTTTTCTTTTAACAGTCACTCAAGATATACCCAGAAAATTAAGGTCTGAAAACAGAACAGATTATGGTGGTTATAATTTTCTTGGACATTGGTTCATATTGCTGAAATTTCAGATCCCAAGATCTAAGTTCATGACATGAAACCAATGTAATTTGCTTGAGGAGTAAATGGTGGGTCACTAAAATGCCTGCCCTGGACTCAGGCCTCACTATTTGAGAGGTGCCTTCATTTTTATTAAAGTTGTATTTTTCAGAAAAATACAAATCAGGCACTGATTATTGAGCATCTGTTACTATGTATCATCTGCCTTTTGTTTTCCCCCCAGGTTTCACTGTGTATCATTGAGGCAGAAATGTGACTGTTGCTTAGAAAACATTTTGATCTGTATTTTAAGTGAGTGAGTCACCCACAGAGCTCATGTGGCAATATTGGTAGTGATTGCAGTAAGTTTTGAGGAGCTGTGATTCTTCTAGATTGTAACCACATCAGCTTTGGCCTATTTCTTTTTTGTAAATTAATTTTTCATATTTAATGACATTTTAGGCTATAATATTGAAAGTGATAGTGACATAGACTCTAATACCAAGGAGCAAATTGTTGACAACTTTATAGTACTCTCCAAGAATAAGGTTATTTGTATTTACAAGATACCTTTTCAAAAAATGTTTCACGCATTTTTGTGGATCAGTGTATTTAGAAACACAGTTTTGGCTTAACCAAACCAAAAATCTTTATTAAGGAGATTTCAGACCCAAGCACCATAGAGTAAATTTCTTTGCTAAAAATAGTATTACAATTTTTGGATTCAATCAATCATGAGTGCTACCTTTAGAAATAAAAAAAAAAAAACTGATAAAATATATCTTTACCTCATGATTGTTTTTACTGTCAAAGATAATGTGGGATCAAAATGTAATTTATTATAAACTTGATGGTTAATAGAAATGTTCCTGGTGTGACACTTAACCCCCGAAACAGGCTATTGAGTCCTCTTGGAGGTCTCTCAACAAATAAAGCCCTGTTTTATCCTAAATGTAGGTGAGACTGGGAAAGTCTAACCCGTAGATTTCTTCCTGAGCCTGTGCTGTCAAATGCAGCACTCCTACCAGGCTCTCCACACAGAGCATTTCCAAGTACTCTAAACAGCAGAATCTTAGCAATACATTAAAAGGTACTTCAAAATCAGACAATCAGACATCAGATACTTTCTTCTGGAAGCCATATCTGAGGAGAGTTTCTCATCATTAATATTGACCGTGGTATCAAGATTGCCTGGACTTGGTCTTGCTATGTCGCCCAGGCTGAAGTGCTGTAGCACAATCTTGGCTCAGTGCAACCTCCACATCCCAGGTTCAAGCAATTGTCCTGCCTCAGCTTCTTGAGTAGCTGAGACTACAGGCACATGCCACCACGCCCAGCTAATTTTTTGTATTTTTAATAGAAACGGGGTTTCACCATGTTGGCCAGGCTGGTCTCGAACTCCTGACCTTAAGTGATCGACCTACCTTGGTCTCCCAAAGTTCTGGGATTACAAGCGTGAGCCACTGCACCCAGCCTCCCTGGACTTTTAACTGCAACTGAGTTGCTAAAAAGTTAGTGAAAGGGGAAACTGTGACAGTCCTTGGAGCTTTCTCATGCAGGATCTATTTTTGAAACAAATGAAGGGTTTTCCCTTACTCTTACCTACTCAGCTGAAAGGAACGATTGCCCTGGGAAAGGGAAGCTTTATTCAAGTGCTTCCAGCTTTGGCTAATGACTACCTCTCATATGCTTTCCACTCAAGGATCTTTAAGGTGATGGCAAAAGGATGAATGGGGGGACAAGGAAAGACAAGCTAAAGTTGGGAAAATTCTAAATTGTGGAAATTATTTTGCATAGCCCGAATATAAAGAAGGTTGATGGACTAGAAAGGGGAAAATAAAATCATGATTTTTAAATAAATATTACAAGTGCATACCCTTATGCCCACAGATGAGACTGTTGAATAAAATCTCTCATTGCATTTACTGTGAAAGATTGGTCTAGAATTAAGTTATGGGAATGTTTCGGCAGTGCTGCAAACTCACTGAATAACAGAAGAGGGAAGAAACTTGCTCAGTGCCAGCCATTGAGAAGTGCTAGATTTGATGCGAGACCTTGCATTTTTAGAGTAATGATTCTCTTAGAGGAACTCAGAATTATATTATAATGAAGCATTCTGACTTGAGCTATAATAACCTAGAGTATACATGCTAAAGACGAAGCTCAGGACCTGTTCTTGTTTCAGCAGCAACGTGGATATTCCAAAAGGAAGACATAATCACTGAAATAAGCAGTAATAGTTGCTGGGCACTCGCCTAGCATATATTTCCTACTCACAATAGAATAAGAAGCAAAAATTGCCCTATGGTGCCAAGGATTGCTATTTTCTCCTTCACTGGCATGTTTAAAAGACAAAAATCTGGCTTTATAACCAAATGAAAGAATGAAAAATTCACTTCAAGGCTGAGGACCTATTTTCCAGTTTTCGTCCCAAAGAGTATTTTATTGAATAAGTGAAAAATAGCTTGAAGAAAAACAGGAACCAAAATGGAAACTGACAACAGCCCCTTAACAATGAAATAATTGTTAGGTTTGAAGTGCCTCTTTGTGTAGTGGTTGAATTGAGTAATCATGAAACAGATAATATTTTGTAAGGTGTGAATCTATTACTAGAAAAACCAGTGTTGCCCAATGAGCCATGACATCTCCTATTTGATGAATATATTATCTTCAGCAGAAAGCTTTGTAGCAAAGACCCATGGGAATGGGAAAATATCTAATTTCTGGCATGCATTTTCAACTTTCCATTTTCAGGGGAAGTAATTGTCTCGAAATGAAAAAAGAAACAGAAATTAAAATTCAGACGCTGACATCAGATCACAAATCTAAGGTAAGACAATCCCCATTTTTGTAGCAGTGACTTGCAGAAGACACTTTGTAATTTTTTAGAAGGAGTACCTATTATAAATCAGAAATAACAGTAGCCCAGAGCTGGTCTAGTAGCCTGCAGCTGATCTGAGATGTCAGGGGAGCCCAGGGTTCATATTTGCCTCAGCCTCACTGGCTTTAAGAGCCATTTCATGGAACATCTTCTTTTGTCTCGTCTGTTGAACTATACTAACAATATTTATGTTGCCTGCCTCAGAGGCATCAAGTAAAACAATAAATGAAGATACTAAAAGGAAACATTATATAAAATACAGAATATACTTCCCTATAGAAATAACATTAAACATAGGACAGAAAACCGCCCAAATTGGTAGTTGATACTTACTCCATCCTAACTTTACATGGAAATTTGGGATGAGAAAAAATTAAGAGGTGATATTCTAAAAGAGAAGCCTAATTACTCACATTTTCTTAAAGACAGGAGAAAGTAGGAGCTTGAGAGACTTTGATCAAGTTTGTGGGCATTTGGAGAACTAATTGTTAAGTCCCAGTTAAGAACAAAAACAATTCTTCCAGGAATAATAGTTTTTAAATGAAAAGGAAAAAAAAAAACCCAACAACACTGTTAAAGAAAGCTCCCAAAAATAGCTGTGGTCGAACCAGCCAGCCTCATTTATCTATATGCAGCTGTGTCATCTGGTCCAGTGGCCCTGCTGCATGCATGGAGCAGCCAAGCTGTTCAAGATGTTCTCCTTGGTGGCTGTATATTTTGTAGGGCATGAACTCTATAGAGGCAGTAAGCCACGTGTCTTTAAGAGTTATTCAGCACCTATCTCTTCTTAACTGGAATGTTTGGGAATTAGCAGTCGTGCAAACTGTCATGATTCTTAGATGCTTGGCATCAATAAGAGAAGCCTTGGCAACAGTATCAGTTTGCTTTTGCTGTATAATGAACTGTGTCAAAGAAGAGCACATTAAAACAACTACTACAGTTTATTAGGTCACAATTCACTGGGTCAGAAATTTGGGCCGTACTTCTGCTCATTTTGGCTGGAGACACTTGTGTATCTACAGTCAGTGGGGGGGCGTATGGCCTTACTTATGTATCTGGTAGTTGGCTGGCTGTTGGTTGTTTTCCCACATGACCTATCAACCTCCAGCAGGCTAGCACAGGCTCAGTCACAGGGTAGCCACAGGGATCCAAGCATAGCAGAAGGGCAAGTACTTTCCAGCCTCTGCTTGCATCACATTTGCAACTATCTCATTGGCTAAAGCAAGTCACAGGTCACCCAGATTCAAGGAGCTGGAGAAATAGACTCCAGCTCTTGACAAGAGGCACTGCAAAACCCCGTTGCAAAGAGCTTAGATATTGGGTGGGGAAGACTTTCTACCCTAGTGTCTATCAGGGTGACACAGTAAGTCATGATCCAGAAATAAAAGAACACACAGCTCTCTATTCAAACATGTGAAATCTTCTGAAAACCCGGAAAGTGAAGCTGGAAAAACATAAGGTGATAAAGATAATCCTGATGGAATTGGTAAAGGAGCCCAAGGCCTGCACAAACCAGAGTGGTGGCTGAGTGTGGTGGTTCACGCCTGTAATCCCAGCACTTTGGGAGGCCAAGGCGGGTGGATCACCTGAGATTGGGAGTTCAAGACCAGCCTGGCCAACATGGTGAAACCCTGTCTCTACTAAAAATACAAAAATTAGTTGGGCGTGGTGGCACGCGCCTGTAATCCCAGCTACTTGGGAAGCTGAGGCAGAAGAATCGCTTGAACCCAGGAGGTGGAGGTTACAGTGAGCCGAGATCATGCCACTGCACTCCAGCCTGGGCAACTTTAGACTCTGTCTAAACAAAACAAACAAATAAACAAAAAACAAAACAAAGTGTGTGAGGCAGTGAAATAAGGGTTCACAATTAACTATTCAGAGCCAAAGCAATTGACTTATTTTAATAAGCAATAACTTCCTGCTTCCCATTGATTAATACATATTATTTTTTGGTGGTTATAGGTGTCTCATGATTCACCAAGTAAATTGGTGGGAGGAATCTGAAACATCTGAATAATATTGTGCTTTTGGGTTCATACCTGACCTATGAGGATTACAATGGCACTGTCCCCTTTTTTCCAAACAGGTCAAAGAGATTGTAGCACAGCACACAAAGGAATGGTCAGAAATGATCAATACCCACAGTGCTGAGGAGCAAGAAATCCGAGACCTGCACCTCAGCCAGCAGTGTGAGCTGCTGAAAAAGCTACTCATCAGTGCCCACGAGCAGCAAACCCAGCAGCTGAAACTGTCCCATGACAGGTGGGGGAATTGCCATCTCCAGAGTAAACATCTAATCTTTAAAAACAAAAGCTGATTTTGTGTATATAAGAGAACCAAGGTAATAAGTGAAATCAATTTGACATACAACATGTAGCTCTTTTGTGTATCTCATCATATGGCTGATTATGAGCAAGATGAGCTATAAGAAATGGCCCCCACGGGCCAGGTGCAGTGGCTCACACCTGTAATCCCAGTGCTTTGGGAGGCCAAGGCAGGAGGATTACTTGAGCCCAGAAGTTCGAGACATCTCTATTTTAGAAAAAGAAAAAAGAAATGGTCCCTGCCATCACAGGGCTTACAGGTGTTGGCAGGATACTACACCCATGTGAAAAGTTAAATCAGATAACAAAGTAGCATATGACACATATTTTTAAATGTCATGGACACTAAGGGCATCCAGCTCAGAGGAGCTCTACCTTTTCAGAGTGGTCACGGAGACTTTTCAAAATGGTAGGGCTGGAACTGGCCTTTGGAGAATGATCTGGAGTCTCTTAGGAAGAAAAGACACACAGAGAGATAAAGATCAATCAGTTGATTTCCTAGAGTGACCAGGTTCTGATCATTTAATGGCTACCTGTGGAGAGAGCCTCCCTTTCCCTTCCTTACAGTGTTAGGACTTCTGTGAATTTTGGAAAGATAGACCTGATTAAGAAACAGCAAAGTATCAGTTTTGGCCTGTGCCCACTTCAGCAAAGTGAATATTGCATTTGAAATACTGCAAGCCATGAGCTGGACTTATCCCTGAGCAGAAGGAGGTTGGTGTTTGTTACATCTTTATCATAGCTCAGTTGCAGCTTGCTTGGTTCTCACTTAGTGCCTACCGTATGCCACAGTTAGGGTCTATTGAGACACAACAGGAGTAGAAAATAGAAGCATTATACAAATAAATCGAACAAAAAGTGTTTTTAATGCCAACTGCATAAATTATCTGGCTGCATGCCCAAATTCCCAGTGTTACTTTGGAGTGACAGATACTGCCACAAGAACAAAGTGTTTTTGCCGTGGTTTCCAATTCTCATTTGAGGCAACTAAATGAGGTCTCACATGCTCCATTTTCTGTGGGATAATGTGCTGTACCCCCATGCATTTTAAAGCATTCTATTTACTCCTATAGGATTAGAAGTGGTCTTTTCTTTTTTCCTTAGAAATGCTCTTGATTCACTATGCAGAAAGGTGTGTTCATCATTCTGCCTTTGATGATTGCTACAATGCCAAATTTTAGTGCCTACCTTTATTCAAAGATACTTCACGGAATACAGCACGGCACTTGTCTAATCTTCTTTTACATTGTTGAATAAAGAAAAAAACATTAGCTCACAACAGTAGGCATTATCTGAAAGGAAAAAACAAAATATACTAATTCTTGAATTGCTTAGGAAGTCATTTGAAGAGATCATGACCTAGTTACTAAAATACTTTAAAAAATAAATCCATGGGCTTCCTGCCAAGATGGCCGAATAGGAACAGCTCTGGTCTGCAGCTCCCAGCGTGATCGATGCAGAAGACGGGTGATTTCTGCATTTCCAACTGAGATACCTGGTTCATCTCACTGGGACTGGTTGGACAGTGGATGCAGCCCAAGGAGGGTTAGCCGAAGCAGGGTGGGACATCACCTCATCCGGGAAGCACAAGGGGTCAGGGCACTTCCCTATCCTAGCCAAGGGAAGCCATGACAGACCATACCTGGAAAAACAGGACACTTCCGCCCAAATACTGTGCTTTTTCCCAAGGTCTTAGCAATCGGCAGACAAGGCGATTCTCTCCTGTGCCTGGCTTGTCAGGTCCCACGTCCACGTAGCCAGGCTCACTGCTAGCGCAGCAGTCTGAGATGGAACTGTGAGACAGCAACCTGGCTGGGGGAGGGGCGTCCGCCATTGCCGAGGCTTGAGTAGGTAAACAAAGTGGCCAGGAAGCTCGAACTGGGTGGAGCTCACCGCAGCTCTGCAATGCCTACTGCCTCTATAGACTCCACCTCTGGTCAGGGCATAGCTGAACAAAAGGCTACAGACAACTTCTGCAGACTTAAACATCCCTGTCTGACAGCTCTGAAGAGAGCAGTGGTTCTTCCAGCACGATGTTTGAGTTCTGAGAGCAGAGAGACTGCCTCCTCAAGTGGGTCCCTGACTCCTGTGTAGCCTAACTGGGAAACATCACCCAGTAGGGGCCAACAGACACCTCATATAGGGGGGTACCCCTCTGGGACAAAACTTCCACAGGAAGGATCAGGCAGCAATATTTGCTCTTCTGCAGCCTCCACTGGTGATATCCAGGCAAACAGGGTCTAGAGTGGACCTTCAGCAAACTCCAACAGACCTGCAGCTGAGGGACCTGACTAGTAGAAGGAAAACTAACAAACAGAAAGGAATAGCATCATCATCACCAAAGGGTCATCTACACCAAAACCCCATCTGTAGGTCACCAACATCAAAGACCAAAGGTAAATAAAACCACAAAGATAGGGAGAAACCAGAGCAGAAAAGCTGAAAATTCTAAAAACCAGAACACCTCTTCTCCTCCAAAGGATCACAGCTCGTCACCAGCAATGGAACAAAGCTAGAAGGAGAATGACTTTGACGAGTTGACAGAAGTAGGCTTCAGAAGGGTCAGTAACAGCAAACTTCTCTGAGCTAAAGGAGCATGTTTGAACCCATTGCAAGGAAGCTAAAACCTTGAAAAAAGATTAGACGAATGGCTAGCTAGAATAAACAGTGTAGAGAAGACCTTAAATGACCTGATGGAGCTGAAAACCATGGCAGAAGAGCTTCGTGACACATACGCAAGCTTCAATAGCCTATTCAATCAAGTGGAAGAAAGGGTATCGGTGATTGAAGATCAACTTAATGAAATAAAACGAGAAGACAAGATTAGAGAAGAAAGAGTAAAAAGAAACGAACAAAGCCTCCAAGAAATATGGGACTATGTGAAAACACAAAATCTGTGTTTGATTGGTGTACCTGAAAGTGACGAGGAGAATGGAACCAAGTTGGAAAACACTCTTCAGGATGTTATCCAGGAGAACTTCCCCAACCTAGCAAGAGAGGCCAACATTCAAATTCAGGAAAGATGGAGACCACAAAGATACTTCTCAAGAAGAGAAACCCCGAGACACATAATTGTCAGATTCACCAAGGTTGAAATGAAGGAAAAAATGTTATGGGCAGCCAGAGAGAAAGGTCGGATTACCCACAAAGGGAAGCCCTGCAGACTAACAGTGGACCTCTCAGCAGAAACCCTACAAGCCAGAAGAGAGTGAGGGCCAATATTCAATATTCTTAAAGAAAAGAATTTTCAACCCAGAATTTCATATCCAGCCAAACTAAGCTTCATAAGTGAAGGAGAAATAAAATCATTTACAGGCAAGCAAATGCTGAGATATTTTGTCACCACCAGGACTGCCTTACAAGAGCTCCTGAATGAAGCATTAAACATGGAAAGAAACAACCTGTACCAGCCACTGCAAAACCATGCCAAATTGTAAAGACCATTGATGCTATGAAGAAACTGCATCAATTAATGGGCAAAATAACCAGCTAACATCATAATGACAGGATCAAATTTACATATAACAAAACCTTAAATGTAAGTGGGCTAAATGCCCCAATTAAAAGACACAGACTGGCAAATTGGATAAAGAGTCAAGACCTATCAGTGTACTGTATTCAGGAAACCCATCTCACATGCAGAGACACACATGGGCTCAAAATAAAGGGATGGAGGAATATCTACCGAGCAAATGGAAAGCCAAACAAACAAAGTGGTTGCAATCCTAGTCTCTGATAAAACAGACTTTAAACCAACAAATATCAAAAGAGACAAAGAAGGCCATTACATAATGGTAAAGGGATCAATTCAACAAGCAGAGCTAACTATCCTAAATATATATGCACCCAATACTGGCACATGCAGATTCATAAAGCAAGTCCTTAGAGACCTACAAAGAGACTTAGACTCCCACACAATAATCATGGGACACTTTAACACCCCCACTGTCAATATTAGACAGATCAATGAGACAGAAGGTTAACAAGGATATCCGGTACTTGAACTCAACTCTGCACAAAGCAGACCTAATAGACATCTACAGAACTCTCCACCCCAAATCAACAGAGTATACATTCTTCTCAACACCACATCACACTTATTCTAAAATTGATGACATAATTGGAAGTAAAGCACTCCTCAGCAAATGTAAAGGAAGAGAAATCACAACAAACTGTCTCTCAGACTACAGTGCAATCAAATTAGAACTCAGTATTAAGTAACTCACTCAAAACTGCACAACTACATGGAAACAGAACAACCTGCTCCTGTATGACTACTGGGTAAATAACGAAATTAAGGCAGAAATAAAGATGTTCTTTGAAACCAATGAGAACAAAGACACAACGTACCAGAATCTCTGGGACACATTTAAAGCAGTGTGTAGAGGGAAATTTATAACACTAAATGCCCACAAGAGAAAGCAGGAAAGATCTAAAATTGACACCCTAACATCATGATTAAAAGAACTAGAGAAGCAAGAGCAAACAAATTTAAAAGCTAGCAGAAGGCAAGAAATAACTAAGAGCAGAACTGAAAGAGATAGAGACACAAAAAACCCTTCAAAAAATCAATGAATCCAGGAGCTGGTTTTTTGAAAAGATTGACAAAATTGATAGACCACTAGCAAAACTAATAAAGAAGAAAAGAGAGAAGAATCAAATAGATGCAATAAAAAAATGATAAAGGGGATATCACCACTGATCCCACAGAAATACAAACTACCATCAGAGAATACTATAAACACCTCTATGCAAATAAACTAGAAAATCTAGAAGAAATGGATAAATTTCTGGACACATACACCCTCCTGAGACTAAACCAGGAAGAAATTGAATCTCTGAATAGACCAGTAACCGGCTCTGAAATTGAGGCAATAATAGCCTGCCAACCAAAAAAAGTCCAGGACCAGACAGATTCACAGTCAAATTCTACCAGAAGTACAAAGAGGAGCTGGTACCATTCCTTCTGAAACTATTCCAATCAACAGAAAACAGGGAATCCTCCCTAACTCATTCTATGAGGCCAGCATCATCCTGATACCAAAGCCTGGCAGAGACACACACACAAAAAGAGAATTTTAGACCAATATCCCTGAAAAGCATCCATGCAAAAATCCTCAATAAAATAAATACTGGCAAACCAAATACAGCAGCACATTGGAAAGCTTAATCACCATGATCAAGTTGACTTCATTCCTGGGATGCAAGGCTAGTTCAACATATGCAAATCAATAAACATAATCCATCACATAAACAGAACCAGTGACAAAAACCACATGATTATCTCAATAGGTGCAGAAAAGGCCAACAAAATTGAACAGCCCTTCATGCTAAAAACTCTCAATAAACTAGATATTGATGGAACGTTTCTCAAATTATTAAGAGATATTTATGACAAACCCACAGCCAATATCATACTGAATGGGCAAAAACTGGAAGCATTCCCTTTGAAAACTGGCACAAGACAAGGATG